ATTTCTTAGAAGTGTATCAAGTAACTCCCAGAATTTATAAGAAGGCCAAAGACTGGGATAAGAAAATAAGCAGTCTGGGCAATAAGATCCCCAGCCCAGGTCATTCCATGGACCTCAAGTACATAGTGTGGGGGCATTGATCTGGTAAATGTTTTCTTTCCATCCTGGTTAGAAAAGGAGGATCGGAAAGAGTTTTAGTTCCTGCATGACAGATAAGAACATTCGTGTACAGTTTTGTCTTGGGCGTTATATTAACTCACCTGCCCCTTGTCATAAGATAGTCCAAAGACATCTGGGTCCCCCGGATATCCCATAGAACATCACACTTATCAGTTACGTTGGTGACATCATGGTGATCGGACAGGATGAACAAGAGTCGGCCAGCACACCTGCTAAAGAGGAATCAATTACCGACCCTCAGCAACAGAGGTGAATGTCAACAGCATTATGATGACCCAAAGAAGTCACACGTCAAAATTCACGTACTGCATGTTTTCATTTATGTAAAACTTTGATACAGGCAAAACGAATCTGTACTAACAGCAAGTGCATCAGTGGTTGCCTGATGACGAGGTTGGGGAGGAGGCTATCTATCTGCAAAGGGCACGAAGGAACTTTCTGGAATGATGGAAATGGCCTACGTCATGATTGTAATTACGATTACATTTGTTAAAACTCAACCACTTAAATGTACACTTGAGATGAATGCATTTTATACCCCAATAAAATTGAGCTAAAAAAGAATTGTACACGATTTTAGTAAATTCTCAGAATATATGTCACTGAATATAGTAGTTGCAGTTTTCCCATTATTACCATTTTCCCAAGCAGGTGTCCCTTAGATAGAAACATCTTTTATCTTATTTACATCTTTTTCTAGGCTAATCATCTGGCATTCTGTTTCCACTCCTTTGCCTTTGCGTAATCTATCTCTGGGCAGGCTAAAGGAGGAGATCCTTGTTTCCAGGCTGGGATGTCCATGAAGGGGTTTCCCAGGTACGTGGAGGGTTTCAGGTAAATGAAGTGTAACAAGGGCACAGTGGACTGAACTCCTCTCCCTGTTCCTGTCCTGGCATTTCACGGTGCTGCTTGCTACCTTCCTGTGGCTCCCGAGCCTCTGTCATCCTTACAGGAGTGACCTACCAGCACCAGGGCTGAGCCTATTGACCTAGAATGTGCTCGTGTGGGATATGCTGTGCTGGCGCCTCTGTAGCGAGCAGGTGAACCTAGGTTTCGAGGCTTCTTAGACGCCAGAACCATTTTTCCCACCTTTTTCTGAGGAGCTTTTGGGTGTCCTGGTAAGGGGAGCCCATGGGTTGAATCCATTTGAGAATTATTGATTCCAATCAAGTTAAACAGATTTCTATGTTATAGGGTCTCTCACAGACATTATGTGCCAATGTGCATAAGGCATCTTTATTTTTATTTTTTTTCAATGTTTATTTCTGAGAGAGAAAGACAGAGTGCGAGCGGAGGAGAGGAAGAGAGAGAAGGAGACACAGAATCTGAAGCAGGCTCCAGGCTCTGAGCTGTCTGCACAGAACCCGATGTGGGGCTTGAACCCACAAACTGAAATCATGACCCGAGCCAAAGTTGGACACTTAATGGACTGAGCCTCCCAGGCGTCCCTGCACATAAGGCATCTTTAAGGGTGTGTGTGGAGGGCGTATCCCATCTTCCTTGAAGTGGCTGTTCTAGAGTCTTCTCCCGGCCCTGGCTCTGCCTTAGACCTGACTTCCTCATGCTCCTGGCGCCCAAATGCCTGCCTGCCCCCCCCCCCATTTTCCTGCCCAGAGGAATGATTTTCCTCTATATGATTTCAGTTTATATTCAGGTTCCCTTTTGTCTCGACTTTCTGAGGCAATAATTTTATCCTGACAAATTATAGGCATTTCTGGGTCACCTCCCCTCCCCGTCTGGGTTTTGTTTGTTTCTTAAAGTTCGATGATTTCTAGTAAATTCATTCAGTTGTGTTACCAGCACCCCGATTCAGTGTAGGAACATTTTCATCTCCCAAAAGTACAGGAGGGGGAAATAGCCTGGGGGAATAGAAGTGAGTAGGGAAGCACTCAGATAGTGGATCCCCAGCTCCTGTCCGTGGATCCTGGGGCTGGGCCCTGATGCCTCCTCCCCTCTGGACACCCCTCGTCAGGCTACCCCATGACGGGACCCCCCACCGCTTCCCCTAAATGCCCCGGGAACCTCACAAGTGTCCGGACGGAGATGGAGGGAGGCGGCAGGCACTGCCTCCAGCTTCCTGCACGATCAGCTCCAAATACTTTCACTTTTCTTTCCTCCGGAAGCCTGGCCCCCCACTGCATGTGGCAAAGCACAGACTTCCTGCTTCACCCACTGGTGTCCCCCTGCTGTTCCCTCCGCCTTCCAGGAGCCATCCCTGCCCCAGCCCCTGACCAGGGAAGGGGCAGGAGCAGGTGGCAAACCCAGCCTCCAGGTGGGTTTTTGTCTCGGCTACTTTATTCCTCATTTGGGGTGATCAGGCTCTGATAGCTAATTTCCTGACAGCAGCTACAGAGTGGAACTCAGCTATTTTAAACTGTGAGACTCTCTCCTTGTAAAATATTGTCTTCCAAAGATAGAGAGGTATGTGGGGTTTAACCAGAGACCATGAAAAAGGGGGACAGACGTGGGAGTCGGGGGAGGGGGGAGCAGAAACACAGCTCGACTCCTTTTGCCCTAAATTCTAGCCCGTTGTTGTGGATGAAAGGGAGATTTGCTCTCTACCCTCCTCTGTGCTCTGTTGATGCTACACTCAGCCCCAAATGGGCAGCTCATTTATTATCCACAGTGCAAGTGACTAGATGTGGTTGGTGGAAAAAAGAAAATGAGGAGGAAACCCTTCATTTCTTCCCTAGTGTTTCATGAGATTTTTATATATTTTCCTTAAGCACATTTTTGATTGTTTCCTTGAAGTGCATTCCTAGAGGTGGAATCTGGGACTCAAGGGAATCCATATTCTAGGGCGTTTGACCCTGATTGCTAACTTCGCCTCCAGAACATTTGGATCTGTTTACATTTGCACCAGGAGCATCTGTGGTTATTGCGATTAGTCTTTATGTTGGGCAATCTGATAGGCAAATGCTATTAAATCGTCTTCTTTTGTACTGTTCCAGCTACTAGAGAATTGCCATGCTTTTCATATATTTATTGCACATTTGACTTAATTGCCTAGTTAAGCCTTTTGCTTTTTTTCCATATGGATGTTTGTCTTTTGCTTATTCATTTTTAAGACTCGTTCCCATAATAAAAATCTGAACACTCCCATATGAGACCCTATATCATGCACTAGCTTTAGTGGGGCTTTATTCAGACAAGCTCTGCTTTGCCACCTCGGGCTATTTACTTAACCTCTCTGTGCCTTGCTCTCACTCTTGAGAACCATAATAGTTGAAGAATAAGGAAGCTGGTGGATCTTATGTTCTGAATGCTGTTGTATAATCATCCTAAACGTAACCTCAGGGTCACTTCCTCTTGTTACCATGTGACCATTCTGGATTTCTGGGGCTCTGTGCTTACCTTTGCAATTTTCTTCCCCACATCATGGATTCTGTCCGCATCCTGGTTGCTAGATTTCTCTTCCGCCTGTTCTCAATCTCCAGTATTTCTTCATGATTATAGACCCCCTGCGGCATCTTTTCTTTTCCAGCACTATTGTGGATTACTTTACTCTTACAATATGTTTTGGTTTTTTTCCTTCCGTCAAATGTAAATGATGTGGGAATGAGGAGAGAGCAAGGCTGCTCAATCTACCACTGGGATTAATCCTGGAAACAGTCATTAGTTACCGTTCAGTTTTCTATTATACACAAAAGGAAGTAGGAAAAACAGGATCTCTATTTCATTTAAAAAAAAAAATCTCTGGGTGATTGAGTTTTTCTGTTTACACTTCTATTCCCTTGACAAGTTGTCAGGAATTCATCTGTAGGTTTTCTGCCTCTAATAATTATTGATATTTTCTCATGACCTATCAATGGCTAATTTGTATCAATGTCGCATGGGATGGGAAAGGCACATGTCTGTTCTGCGATATGTAATTGATACATATAATAAATCAGCTAAGTAGCCTTTTACTAATCACGTCTTATACCTCCTTCGTGTCTATTTATGTTTGGCCTATTTGTGTGTTGAAGGTTGTAGGTGGTTTACTCAAGTTTCCAAATATTATCGGGCTTCTATCTTTCTACTCATCATTGGGTGGTCCCTCTTACATGAGCTTTGCTAGTGTCTGTCGTAAGGTGCGGTCCAGACAACCTTAACTCTGTTCAGTGTAGCCACAGACCATAGTACTTATGACCATAAACCTAGAAGCAGAACATCGGAATGTGTTCACCTCTATCACTTCCAAGTTGTGCGATTTAGGGCAAGTTCATAACACATCTCTATGTCTCCATGTCCTTCACAATACAATGGGTGAAATCATAGAAACCATCTTGCAAGGGTTTTGTGACGATCAAATAAGTTACTGCATGTGAAACCTTTATAATAAAGTCCAGCACATAGGAAATACTCAATAAATATTAGTGACTTTTATAGTTTTTAATTTTTTAAATTTTTTTAGTTTATTTTTGAGAGAGAGAGAGCAGGGGAGGGGCAGAGAGAGAGAGAGAGAGAGAGAGAGAGAGAATCCCAAGCAGGCTCCACACAGTCAGCGCAGAGCTCGATGTGGGGCTCAAACTCACAAATTGCGAGATCATGACCTGAGCCAAAATCAAGAGTTGGACACTTAACTGACTGAGCCACCCAGCTGCTCCTATAAGCTATTTTTAATATCTGTCTCATATTTACCAATACCCCTTTGAGATTTCAGCAACCTATTGTTGGTCAATTTCAGCCTCCATTGTCCTTGGACGTTGTCATTGCCTCTTACACCCATGAGCCTTTGAGGAAGACTGCTACAGGATGACTTTGGGACCAGGATGGTGATCTGAAAATGCCCACTGAGCACAAACAGCAGCTCCCCGAGTTCCCAGAGTCTTTCCTCTCTTCTCGTGCCTCTTCCATAGGATGTTCACCATGACCAGAGCCTTAGAAGAGACTCTACGCCAGCACTTCATATACCAGAAGCTGGAGATTGCCTATGCCATACACAAGCCATTTCCCTTCCTCGAAGGCCTCCGAGACAACTCCTTCATCACTGAGACGATGTACAGGGTGAGTCGTGCTGACTGCTTTTCCGTGGCAGCCCAGCCCCCCCACCAACAGTTACTGAAGTTTCAAACCACAAACGCTTAGAGCTTGGAAGGTCTAGTCCAAAATGTTCATTCTCAGGGAAAGATGGGGTTACAAGGGCAGCCATACAAACGACTTCGCCCCACGTGCCTTAAAACGAGAGAAATTTATTCTCTCAGAGCTTGGGAAGCCAGAAGTACAAAATCAAGGTGGTAGCCATGTTGGTTCCTTCTGAAGGCTCCAAGAGAGAGCCTGTTCCCTGACTCTCCTACCTTCTGGTGGCACCAGAAATCCTTGTAGAAACTTCACTTCCAATCTCTGTTTCCATCTCTACATCAATCTCTCCATCAGCTCTTCTTTCCCTCATTTTTTCTTTTTCTCTTCTCTTCTAAGGACACTTGTTATTGTGTGTTAGAGCCCACCCTAATCCAGGATGATCTCTTCTCAAATTCTAACTTAATTACATCCGCAAAGACCCCTTTTCCAAATGAGGTCACATTCACAGGTTTCAAGTGGACACATCTTACTGGAGGGTGGCACCATTCAACCCACTAAGGGTACCCTCCCAATTCTTAAGAGCTTGTTGTACGCAGTCCTTTCAGACTTGAAGCAAAGCAGGCATTGGAAGATATGGCTATATGGACAAACATGGCATTCTTTTCATGATTTTTGTTTTTTATGTATTTCCTGAGCCCTAAGCCCAAGGAAGGGCAGCAGTGGTTGAGTGTTCTTCTCCCAGGCTTGGCCTGGTTGGCTCCAACCCTTCTTCGGGTCATAGCCCGGATGTCACTCCTCAGAGAGGATTCCTTAACCCACTCATCTAATTGATTTCCCATAGAAATCTATGCTTTCCCTTCATAACACTTCTCTCAAAAGCAACGGGGCATTTCTTTAATTTGTGTTTATTATTGAATGCTCATCTTCTCCACCCGACAGTGTCCCTTCCGTCACTATGGGTAGCACCACGCTGGTCTTATCCACTGCTATATACCCAAGGACAAGCCTAGTAGGTGCTCAGTAAGTGTTGTGCAATCAATTCTCCTGCCATGTTTCTCCTCTTGGCCAACTTCTCAGGAAGAGGAGTTCTCTGGATGATTTCCTTGTTGGCTAGAACCCATTCAGGCCATCTCAAGTCAAAGAGAGAGAGTAAGAGAGAGACAGAGAGAGAGACAGAGAGATCAAACAGAGGCTAACAAGCGATCAACAGAATTGCCACTTGTGACCAACTAATTGGTCCTTTGCTACAGAGTTCTGCCCAGAGCCTGAGAGACATAGTTACATAGTAGGAGCCTTTGACTACCTTCCCTTCCCTCAAATTTCTCTCTGCCCTCAAATATACCTAAAATAAGGTTCACAAAGCAGACTTATTTTAAAGACGGCTAAGTTATTTATTCCCACGACCAACCATCCAAAAATAGGTGAAGTTCTGGAAGTAAATATGTGTAACTGTGACTTCTCTGCCTTCGAGTCTACCTATACGTTTGTGTTAAATTCCTTGTTAGAAGAATGAAATACTACTCTTACGCTGTAGCAAACCACAAACGTAAAAGAAACTTCCATTCCATTTTATGATTATTCATCACCATCCTTGATGCCATTTTTTAAGGAATCCATGGAAGCCTACAGAAGTCAGGTCCCTGTACCCAGACTGGTGTACAATATCCTCAGCCACCTGGAGAAGATGTTCAACCTGTCATTTCTGCAGATGCTCTTCAGCCGAATTAACCTGCGTGAATACCCCCACCTGACAAGGATCCTCAAGAGCTTCAGAAGTGGTATGAGTCTTTCCGAATATCTCTCGGGCTGTAGGAGCAGGGACCAGAAGTTGCTTTGCTCCAAGTGTGGGTTGGCTTTCAGCACCGTGGGCGGTGCCCCTCAACTGGCCGGTTCTCTGGGGAGATAGGAAGCTGACTCTCTCGCAGTGCGGCAGGAAGGGCCGTCTCTGGCCCCACTTCTCTAAGATGAATTTCCAGAAGACACAAACATTTCTGTCTTACCTGTTCTATGAAGTGGGGGAAAGCTGTACCGTTTAGCACCCTGGACAGTCTCTAGGGAAGGAAAAATGTGACTGAAATGCAGTTACAGAGACTCAGTCTGGCAGAAGGATAAGGAGGGCCAGAGGGGAAGGGAAATGAATAGGGATGGATAATAAGTATCTCTCTCTCTTTTTTTTTTTTTTTTTTTTTTTTTTTTTTTTTTTTTTTTTTGAGTACTTACTATGTACCAGGCATCGTCCCAAGCACTGTATAGGGTTATCTCACATCATCTTTATTTTTTTTAACATTTATTTATTTTTGAGACAGAGAGAGACAGAGCATGAGTGGGGGAGGGTCAGAAAGAGAGGGAGACACAGAATCCGAAACAGGCTCCAGGCTCTGAGCTGTCAGCGCAGAGCCCGACGCGGGCCTCGAACTCACAGACCTCGAGATCATGACCTGAGCCGAAGTCGGACGCCCGACCGACTGAGCCACCCAGGCACCCCTCTCACATCATCTTTAAAACAACGCTGTGATGTCATTATCAGCCCCACCTGACATGTGAAGAAAGTATAGCTCAGAATAACCTTCCCCAGGTTACTTGCCTGTGAAGAGCAGAGCGGGCATCCTACTGGGTCTCCTAACTCTGGGGCCTGAGCTCTCAATCCCTCTTCCCAGCAAGGCGGAAGGCGCCGCCTAAAGCTGGAGGAGAGGGGAGAGGGAGCTGGAGACAGAGGGTATGAGAAGGAAAGGGAACGTGGAAGCACGCTGTGAACGCGAAAGAGCCGGACAAATACAGAGCAGGAGAAAGAGCGAGGACAGAGCTGGGAAGAAAGAAGCCAGGGCAGGAGGAACAGGTGACACCATCGTTTTGGGCTTGCGGATCAACACTTTGGCCAAGGCGCACGATTCGCTTCCCCGAGAACAACAGGAAGAGGACCGGCGGCTCACACTGCACTGGGACCTTACTGTGAGTGGGGTCAGCGCTGTTGACAGCAAGAGGTTCCTCCCCAGGAGAAATGACTCCTTGAGCTAAAGGGGCGGCAGGGCGCAGGTGCACGCGGGCCGGTGCTCCCGGCGGCAGCCAGGCAACGCGGGGAGGCCTGGGTTCTCAGAGGCCACGCTAAGTCAGTCCGAGGGCCAGAGGCACCACACACCGCTGTGCTCCCCGACCCAGCCGAGCTCGAGCGTCTTTCTGGATCTGTAGCCCTAGGCTCGTGTTCTGAGCCCCTCTCCAGAATCCCAGCTTGCTTTCCTTTTTCTGTTCACTGGTCGAGACGACTTAACTTCTGAAATAAATGATGGAGAAGATTCGTAAGAGAAACCTGGCCACGGGAGGCATAGCGTGCAGAAAGGCAAGGGCCTGGGGTATTGAGGATGGGGAGGAAGTTTGCTGTGGCCCATCCCAGGGTGCAAGGCAGGGAGGCACAGCAGCGCAATCTGCACAAATGAGCAGAAACCAGAGTAGAGAGAATGCACCTTGTGAAGGAATCTCTATTTTATCTTCTTTGCTACAGGGAGGTGTGATGTGTTTACTTATTAAAACAGGGACACGTATTCGAATTGTACCATTGTACAAGATAGTCTAAATTCTGAAACCAAAATTAAAGAAAAACTTAAGAAGATTAAGTCCCTGAGGACTAAGTCAACTTCATGTGTGAAACGACTTTGGTCTTAGCCCAGAGATTGGATGCAGTTATATTTGAACTGAATGCCCCAAATCAGTAGCACAGAGTAGAAATGGACCACGAGTGGATGATGCTGGTGATGAATCCGTTCTCCACACCCAGGGGAGAATGAACCAACCACCCCATGCCCCTGACCCTTTGGAAGTCATGTGTGAAGAAATTCCCTTCCCCAAATAATTCTTGTTTTTTTTTTATTTTATTTTTAATGTTCTTTTTTTTTTTTTTTTTTTTTTTGAGGGAGAGAGCATGAGCAGGGAAGGGGCAGAGATGGGGGGGTGGGGGGGGGGGATGGACAGAGTATCCAAAACGGGCTCTGTGCTGACAACAGAGAGCCCGACGCAGGGCTCGAACTCACAAAACCACGAGATCATGACCTGAGCCGAAGTCAGAAGCTCAACCTACTGAGCCACCCAGGCGCCCCTCCCTTCCCCCAAATAATTCCGAGTCCCCGGGGTGTTGATGTGTGCTCCTTCACCAATCCCAGTTGTAATTTCCTACGGAGGATGGAACAGAGCCGGGCCTACCCTCCTTGAAGTTCCAGCCAACTCAGCCGAAGGGAGCTCCCTCCAGACCCTGCTGTCGTTGCCCCCACCCCAACACCGATCACAGAGCCTCTTGCCCCATGAGCCCAGTGTCAGTGAGCCCAGCGCATCCACCCAGCACAGCACTGAGACCCGGACTGAATCATCCAGCCCTCCTGGCCCTGCCGCGGCCCTCCCCAGAGCCACCCAGGAAGGAAGGATCACTCCAGGTGAGAAGCAGACCTTGTCCAACACCTGTGTATCCCCAGCCTAGGGTACCTGCAGTCGTGTCTAGGACTCCAAGGTCTCACCCTTTCGTTAACCTGGTCCATCCCATGTGCCCACCTGCCACACACAGCCCTTCCCGGCACTTCCAGGGGCCTGGGTAAAGTCAGGAGCCTGAACACCTGCTTCCCACCCTTGGAACAGCCCCACCCTCTGCCCTTGGGCCCTGATGCTTTTGGCCTGGGTGTTTTTAATCTCCTCCCTGACACTCTGTCCCCATGCCCTGTAATGATTATTCTTTCTCTCTTCAATGACCGATGACAACTTAACATCCTGCATAAATGCTGAAGAAGACTCACAAGAGGGACCTGGCACCCCGCCTGCCTCTGTGCAAGGTAATGTTGCTTGGGACTGACTTAGTTCAATTCGAGGTGGGTGTGAGGGGCAATCATGCACCTGTCGACCCAGGGACTTGTGGCAGGAGCCCAGGGAAAAATAACAGAGTGTGACAAAAGAAAAAGAAAACAAGGGACTGATGCTCCAACTCAGCACTGGAATCCTTGTCAGGGATGCCTCCATGACCAGTCTGATGCTGTGATGCCCACCCGATAAGTGTTCTTAAATGACATGTAACTTGTGCAGTACACCCCTCTGTGACCCTTACTCAATTGCTCAGGCTCTGATTACAGGGGCCTTTCAGTTTCAACCACGTCCATTTTTATATGGTTTGGATTCTAAGAGTAATGTTATTGAAATTATTGGAAAAGATGATAAAACATTTAAAGACCTGACGGACCTGATTTAGCTTCCAAAATTGTTTCTAATCTCCCCAGCCATCATCATGAAGGACTCTGATAACATTAAATATAACCATGGAGTACTATCGGGTGTTGTCAAAAATGGTATTGTGGATTCTGAGTTCTCCAATACTGAGAATAAAGGGCTCTATTTGGTTCAAATGTTTCCTTCACTCCTCTAACACCTAACATCCAAATAAGGTTAACATAAACATGAAGCCAATAGCAATGGAAGACTCCATCTGCTAGATGAGCGAAAGAAAGCCGTAATTAAATTATTCAATTCGTAGGTAGTGAGTCACTATATGATACACCTGAAACTAATATATGCTAACTACACGAGAATTAAAATTTTCTTTAATAATAAAACAGAAAACAAATTAGTAAGTAGCTAGTTGATTGTTGACTCCCCCCTCTTTCCCACCCTTACTGGGCATTGGTGTTCCGTTGGCCCCGCCACATTTACTGGTTGGAATAGACTGTTTTTTTTCCTCCTCCCTCTGGTCCCTGTTTGCTGGTCCTGGGATCTGAAATTCATCTTCTTTCTCTGCTCAGTGTGCGGTAACAACCCGAGGCCCCAAATAAAAGATAAGGAAATGCTCAAGAGATGCCCCACCCTCCCTCAGGTCCCGTGTCAGGAAATGTTGATGCGGACAACTATAGCTTGCCTTACTTTTCATGTCTACCAAGAGGAGAGGTCATCTGGATCATTCTCGAGACAGGGCTCTCCTTGCCGCTCTTGACCACCATCTTGGCCCAGCTTCCAGCTGCACACCCAGCCCTCAGGAGCTTGGATGGGCAGGAGATCCTGGGGAAGACAAGGGAGATGAGTCTGGAAAAGGTAGACTTGGAGGAGGGGCACCATAGATGAGCGAGCCCAGTAGCACCCACAGGACCTAGACTACAAACATCACTAGAAGGTTTACTAAGGGAGAAAATTCATCTGCGTGAGGGCTGTGGCAGAACCCCTGGGGACAGGACAGGGGACTGAGCCAGAGCAAGACTGTGTGAGTCAGCCACACTCTGAGGTGCTCAAAGACATTGTGTGGCCCTGACACAGAGGGCCCAGATGCGGATGGTTCTTTTTCTGAACCCTCATCCTGACTGTGGAGAACGTTCACCTTCAACCCTCATCATTTCTATACTGTTTAGATTTTTAAGAGTTGATCAAAATAATTTGAAAGTCAACAAACTATTTAGAATGTCTAATGACTGCTTGCCATCTGCCTCAGATGCCTATCCTAAGGAGCCCAAAATTTGAGACAGATCTCATTGAACCGTGTAAACAAGAAGAAGGTGGCAGTCTTACTTGAGATTTGTTATGGCTTCAAACCCTGCGGTCTGCTTAGTGCAGCAAAAACAAGAACTTCACATTTATTTACTATTAACAGGTGCTGGCAAATAGAGACTAGCTCCTGCTTTCTTGTACACAGAAATATAGAAGGCACTTAGCCTCCTTCACTATCACTATTTTTCAAGGTGAAGTAATGACAAGGAGAGAGGTTCAAAAATATCCATTCACAAATCTTTAAGGACTAGCATGTATTTTTTATATGGCAAAGACATTCCCCTTCACTGAAGCCAGTGACCTTGACCAGAATTCAAGATCAGCACCCTCAATGCTCGCAGCCTTATCCCCTGCATGAGGGTTACTGAGGGCCCCTTATTCTTCTCTTCCGTCGAGTAAGGGGAGTCCCTCAAAACAGGTCAAACTGAGCCCTCCTCTGAGGGCGGGGATATCACTGGTATAGCCACATTGGTAAGTGTAACCACAAACCAATCAATTCAAGGCGGGGCAGACTTTTCCTTCTGCCTGTTCCAAGCTCTGAATCGAATTCTGTTTCCTTTGATAGAGATAAGAGATATCTCTCCTGAACCAAATGACCCCAAAGAGTTCCAGGGGGCATCCATCACACCTCCCAACAAGAAAGGTAAGGGAGGGTTACCGTTCTCCTGTGGACCCCAGGAGCATGACTGTGGAGGGACTTTCTGTTTTTCTGATCGTCTTTTGTCAGAAGCACCCACCATGTGATTGGAGTCACGATGCTCATTACGGTTTGTTTCTGTAGCTCCCATTCACTGCATCTTCCTTGAAGGCCTTCATTAAGAGCATAGGGAAACCAGACGGCACTGGGGGCCATTGAAATACGTATCCATTGCAATCGCCTGCTCTGAAACAATCAAGGTCTCCTTTACCCACAACTTCTTGGAGGGTCAGTCACACCTCCTCTTTAACTGAAAGTTGGTTCCCCGAGAGGGCACTGCTTTCTCGTAAGACAAGGCTGCCTATTATCTGCTCTTGCTCACCTCGTGGTGGGAGACAGGGTGGATGCCCACTGCTTGCTACATACTGCCCCTGACTAGCCCTTTGCTCCTCTGCCCTCCATGTGAATGAAATAACTCCCTCTGTCTTAATCACGGTCATCCTTAACTTGTCCCTATTTCCCCAGCAGACCTCTAAGGCTAACTTAGAATTTTTCTGTCAGTTCAAGTCCTGCTATCATCCTGGACACCTTGAAGGTGTCCCATCCAAGAGACCCATCCAATACTCTGGTCCCTCAGAACTTTCCTCTGCTCTTTTCCAGTGACTTTTTTCTGCACCGATTCTTGGCCTCCTGGACCCAGAGACAACCATGGGTCCTCTCATCGTTGAAGCCTGGCTCCACCTCCCAATAATTAATTTCAGAATTCTTTTTTTTTTTTTTTTTGACATCTAATCTTTGAAGTCTGCTCCTTCTACAGCTATTGTTCAACCTCCAAACTCTCCTCTCCAGCCCAATCTTAAACAATTAACTCAAAAGTATCCCTGCCTGATTTCTCCCTTACAACTTGTTCCCTCTGGAGCTGTTCTTCAACCTCACTTGGATGACCAGTCCATTGGCTTTTCCCTTTTCTGGTTCATCATATGCCTCTCTTCATGCCCCTTCATACCAGGTTAGAGGCCACGATCCATTGCTTCAGTAACTTATTGCTGGTATCTTAACCAACCTTGCCACTCTGCCTTTTCCTAGAACCCTCTGGCGGGTCTTGGAGGGACCCATTATCTGCTTTCTGCACACTGGGTATGAAGGCAGGCACTTCACTATGGGGAAAACCACACAGCAGGGCAGAGCTCATGTGTTGTGCCTTCACGAGCCCAGGGTAAATGATCCTTCTACACTGCCTGACAATTGCACTTCCTGCAATGATCCTTTCCAACCCTGAGCTTTTTTTTTTTTTTCAAACTGCTGGCCCCCCTCACCACCTCCTTTTCTTCTTTTTTTAAAATATTTTATTTTATTTTGTTAACGTTTATTTATTTTTGAGACAGAGAGAGACAGAGCATGAACGGGGGAGGGTCGGAGAGAGGGAGACACAGAATCTGAAACAGGCTCCAGGCTCTGAGTGGTCAGCACAGAGCCCGACGCGGGGCTCGAGCTCATGGACCATGAGATCATGACCTGAGCCGATGTCGGCCGCTTAACCGACTGAGCCACCCAGGTGCCCCTCCTGCCTCCTTTTCTTAACAGACTACTTTTCCTCTTACTACACCAAAAGGTATAGGATGGGAATACCCTCACTTCCTGCTACCAGCCTGCATTTGCCCCCTCCTCTCCACTTCCCTCTTTCTCTCTAAGGCAATCCTTCTGCCTCACCTGACCGTGTCCATGACCCCTCTCTCCTCTGAGAATTCAGCATCTCCCTGTCACGGGATCTGCATTCAGTCACTGCCCAAGCCTACCACAGCTCATCAAAGGAGCTTCCTCTTGATCCTCAGCTCACTTCACCGGCTTCCATAGCTCACTCTTCCATTTCATAGCTAGAAACAAGCTACCTAAACTCATTGTCCCAATCTCTTCATGTCTCTCTCTCTCCTCTGCCACTTTAGAATATCTTCTCCATCATTACTCCATGAGGCAGCATCACGTAAGGCCACCAATGCCCTGCTCGCCACTATGGTTTGAAGACCAAAAGTGAGCGCTGAAAATTGTTGACCTTTGAGGTTGGCAGATCTATGTTTGTAGCCAGGAGAAGATCATCTGTACCGTTTCTCTTTAGGCAAGAAAAGAAAAAGAAGTATCTGGTCAACTCCAAAGAAGAGACGCCAGAAAAAAAGCCTCTCAAAAGGTAAGATGAGAGAACAAGAAGAGGTGGGATGCAGCAGACAGCTCGTGCTTGTAGGTTAAGGTGTGGGAAGTTGAATTTCATTCTAAACGAAATGGGGAACCATCGAAGAGATCCGATCAGTGAAGTGACATGATCCCATTTTACATTTGACGAGAACAGTGTTGGTTCAGTGTAAAGGATGAATTGGAAACAGAAGAGAATGGAGGCGGGACAACCCTTGGAAAGGGGAGGACACCATGCAGGTTGACAGAACTCTGCATTCAGATCTGGCAGTGGAGATAAGGGCCAGTTCAAGAACAGCTTGGAAAGAGAGTTGATAGAACTTGAAAAATTAGGAGCTGGGGAGGAGAGAGAAACCAAGGCTTCCTCTTCAGTTTCTGGCTTGAATGGCTGGGTGAATGGTGGTGTACATTGCTAAGGGGAGATGCAAATAATTTGGGAGGAAATCTTAGAATTTTCCATTTTTGACCTGTTCACCTCAAGATTTGTGCTAGCTGTCTATGCTCTAGCTCCATGCTTTGTCCAAAACTGTGAAGGGTCTGAGATGGTACCCCACTTGCATAGGGCCGTTCTTTGTGTATATGACCATGCAGGAACCCCGGGCACCTGGATCAGGGGAAAGAATTCCTCATTGACATCACAACCAGCTCAACATCCAGAGTCACACTGCATTATCTACCCCCAAATGCAGACCCACAGGCAGTGAGAAGAGAGCTGCTGGAATCCTTCTGAGAGGCAGATGATATCCCATAGACAAAGGATAAAGAATGATGGGTTTTCTGTTTATAGACAGGACAAGGAAGCCATCTTCCTCCTCTCCTGAAAGGAGGGAAAAACAAAATACAAACAAACAAGAAAAAAACTTGGCTGCTTTGAGATAAGATTAAACTGATCCTCTGTCCTCACCCTCATCTTTTGGAATTGAAATGCCTCTTTCTTTTTTTTTTTTTTTTTTTTTTTTTTTTTTTTTTTTTTTTTTTTTTTTTTACATTTATTTATTTTTGGGACAGAGAGAGACAGAGCATGAACGGGGGAGGGGCAGAGAGAGAGGGAGACACAGAATCGGAAACAGGCTCCAGGCTCCGAGCCATCAGCCCAGAGCCCGATGCGGGGCTCGAACTCACGGACCGCGAGATCGTGACCTGGCTGAAGTCGGACGCTCAACCGACTGCGCCACCCAGGCGCCCCGAAATGCCTCTTTCTAAGAGGCAGAGAAACCCCAAGTGTCTTCCGCCTTTGTTAAAGATGATCCACATTCTGGGCTTCATCCCTTTTGATGTGTAAATACCAATGGAGAGAGGGCTCCAGTAATCCTGGTACTTTGGGACTTAGCTTAGGAAGCTAGCCCTGCTGTAGGCATTTGGCAATCTCAGGAGAGGAGAAGACTTATTATCCTTTTGGATCAAACAGCAGTTTACCAGCTACAGATCTCATTCTCATGGTGTATGAAAAGCAAAATGTTTCTAGGGATGTGAAAGCAAGCATTCCCTGTCTTAATTCTGTATACATTTTCATGCCTCAGGAGTCTAGGGCTTTTCACAGAAGTACTGAGAAATCAAGGGAGCTTAATTTCCCCCACAATAGGGAGAGGGGAAAGTGGGTGATGGGCATTGAGGACGGCACTTATCGGGATGAACACTGGGTGTTGTATGGAAACCAAATTAACAATAAATTATATTCAATAGAAAAATAGAAAAAAAATTCCCCCACAATATGCAAATCTGGCACTCAATAAAAAAAATCAGATCCAAAGATATAAATGGGAGTCCTCGGCAAAATAAAAGTATCCAGATCCGTGGGAAAGAGAACCCTAACCCTTACACCCTTCCGTCATCATCATTGTAAATCCTCTCTCTCCTAGCCTCACACTCTACCACGCAGCCCCTCGATTCTTTGATACCTTGCACTTTTCCCACCGGAGGCACCTGGGGAAACTTGGATCCCTCCTGATCCACAAATAGGTCCTCGGGAATCTGGAGAAGTACGTTATAGCACTCCTTGTGTGCCAAAACAGGCTACCTGGCCATCTTTACTCGGATGTGGGCACCTCCAGGAAGAAGGTGTCAGACATGGCCCAGGAAAGAAAGCCCTCTGCTCTGGGAGTCTGGTTAATTTCAACAGGTTGCACAGGGCTGAGAGCAGATGGTGAGTCTAAGGGAGAAAGAAAGGTGCGCACAAGAAAGATACAATTGCAGAACTAGCAGGAGAAAAATGAGGTACAGGGGTACAGAGATCTCAAAGGGGCTGGGGGCATGGGAGGGGGAGGAGGAGCTTTCCAGTGAAAGGGCACCCCAGTGCCTTCACTGGAGGGCACCCCAGTGAAAACTATTCACAAATCACTATTTGGCCCAGGGAGAGCCTCACCTGAACACACAATCCAAAAAAAGCTCCAACTGATGGATCAGGCGACTGAAAGGAAGGACGATTCAACCAGCAACTCAGAGGTCATAACAAGGGCCCAAAAGGCAAGGACTGGATGTACACAGACCTCTGGACCACAGGGTAAGGCTGGCTACCGAATCTGCTATAAATGCTCCATGTGGGAGGGTCTTTCTCGGGACGGACATGGGGTTGGGTGGAGGTGTGAAGGAAACGGTAGAAGAAGGGAGCGGTGCAGACAAGACGGCAAGGAACTTCTGGGCTGGGAGTGGTTGTGGGTAGAAGCCAGCGTGCTCCCAGCACACAGGTCACCTCTACATGGACTCACGTGACCACTTCCCAGTGTCTACTGTTTACATTTCCATTAGTAGAGCCACCACAACTCCACTGAGTCTGGGGGCTCCCGTCTTGATTCAAGCTGCCCCCATACAAAAAGTGGCACCACTCCTCAAAGTGCACACACTCCCAGGAGTGTTTCTTAATGGCTTCTTTATGGAAGTGAAGTGGCTTAGTCAAAGAGTCTACATGTTTAAGATTAGTACATACCAGGGCACCTGGATGGTTCAGTTCGGTTAAGTGTTGGACTCTTGGTTTCAGGTTAGGTCATGATCTCACAGTTCATGGGTTTGAGCCCCATGTCAGGCTCTGTGCTGTCAGTGTGACAGGATCTTCTTGGGATTCTCTCTCTTCCTTTCTCTCTGCCCCTTCCTCTCTCTCTCTCTCTCCGCCTCTCTCTCTCCCAAAATAAATAAATTTAAAATAAAATAAAATAAAATAAAATAAAATAAAATAAAATTAGCACATTCTGATCAAATTATTGCCAGTTTAGACTCCCATTAAGCATCATACAGATGCCATTTTCCCTACACCTTCACCGAAACTAGAAACAATTAAGAGTCTTCTGTGTTGACAGATTAAAAGCAAAGAATGATATTCCACCCATGTTTTCCTTTGGATTTCTTTGCACTATGCATGTGGTTAAATATGCTGTGGTAGATTGTATTCCTACTCACTGATATCTCGGAAGGTTATACACTCTTGCCCTGTGGACTCCAGAATGGCCATGTCACTTGACTTGGCCAAAGAAATGTGGACAGAAGTGTGAGGGTCGCTTCAAAGCCAAAGCTTTAAGAGCCTGTGTATCATCTTTATTTCTGCCATGGGACCAACAATGTTCTAGACACAAGTTGCTTTGTCCCCAGGATCCGTGTGTGTCAATAACACGGAACCTCGTCTAACTTGTGATGAATGAGTAGCACAAGGGAGAAGTAAAACTGGGTTGTTTCAAACCAACACTTGGCAAACTTTTTCTAAAAGGGGCCAGATAAGAGCTTTGCTGGCCCTACAGTCTCTATTGCAACTACTCAACACTGCCATTGTAGTATGAAAGCAGCCAGAGACAGACATGTAAACAAATGCACCTGTCTGTGTTCCAATAAATCTTTATTTACAAACACAAGCACTGGACTCACTTGGTCTTCATGCTATTATTTGCTGATACCTATAATTAACCACTGAAATTTGGGAGAGTCATAATTCATCATAACATCACCTAGCCTCTTCCTACTAAGATAGCTGTTTGTTAAATAATTTTTTATTAGAAGTTTTTTCCTTTGAGGTTCACTTGTTCCTATTTGCCCATTTTCGTATAGGACTATTCATCTTTTCGTTTGATCAATTATGGAAATCTACTGTTTGTTATCTCATTGAAATGTTTCTGCTTTTGTTTTTGTTTTGTAACTCACTTGAGAAATTTTTGGTTGTGGAGAATTTTTTTGTCAATTTGTTTAGACAAATCAGTTTGTCTTTTCCAAGATGGTTTATGCCAGAGTTTCTCGACCTTGACACTTACTAGCATTTGGGACTGAATAATTCTTTGTCATGAGTGCTGTCCTGTGCCTCACGAGATACTGGGCAACATCCCAGTCATTAGATGCCAGTAGTGTCTTCCTCCCAGTCATGAGAAACAAAAAGATTTCCCAACATTGTCAAATATCCCCTGGGGGACCAAATCAACCAGCCTTGAGAACCATTGTTTTATGCCCTATATTTCTTCCTTAAAAAGTCCTTTCTATGTGATATTTATAAGTTTATATCCTTTATCTACTTCTAGTGTTTGTATTAAATACATATGTACACATTATTATATTGATTATTATATGTTAATATATATTACCTTATGAAAACATGGTTTCTGTAATGTTTTTAGCCTTCGTATCTATCTATTAACATGAACTTGCTATTCCTCCATGATCAATGCTATAATGTTCTTTTCATAAGACCCACGTCTAGGGGAGCCTGGCTGGCTCAGTCGGTTAAGCGTCCGACTTCGGCTCAATTCATGGTTTTGCGGTTTGTGAGTTCGAGCCCCGCGTCGGGCTCTGTGCTGACGGCTTGGAGCCTAGAGCCTGCTTCAGATTCTGTGTCTCCTTCTCTCTCTGCCCCTCCCCCGCTTGTGCTCTGTCTCTCTCTGTCTCTCAAAAATAAATAAATGTAAAAAAAAATTTTTTTTTAAAGACACATCTATCTTGTCTCTCCAAAGTGGTAGAAAGACAGAAAAAATTACTTGAAAATAGTTGATATATAAAGCATATAAATCTGTTTCCAATTATAAATGACATTAATTTTTTTTCTTAGAAAAGAAAAGGAACAACGATGTCAGTTCAAGTTCAACCAGAAGGTGTCAGAAAAATATTCCCCCAAAGGGTAAGTAAGCCAGAGACAGGGACTGGCCGTCAGACATCACTGGTGCCCTGGCCACCTGCCGATTGTTTGTGTCCTCTCTTCCTCCTCTTTCCCTCCCATCTTCGTCCTCCTCCTCCTCTTCCCCCTCCTCCTTTTCTGTGAGCATTCATTTCTCTTCTGCGTTGGTAACATTTCTTCAGCACTGCCCCTCTCACTCTCCCTTCCCTCTTTAGGCTCTGGCGACATTGGCATTCCTCCTCCCCGCCATGAATTTATCATTGAAGTAGAACAGGGGCTACTTGAGGTAGGGTCCGCAGACTGGTGCCATCCACAAGTCTGTTGGTTGCAAGTCTGCAAAAATAAAGAGCTTATAAATCAACCGTGACACTGAGCACCCCGTTTTCACAGCAGGACCTCCTCAGCGGAGATGCCTTATTTCTGTTGGATCAAGCTCCTGTCTTGTCACGCACCGGCACATTGAGTAGCACTGGTGTGATGCTTAAGAAAGATGCACGTACCGTAAATGTACAGCCTGAGGAATTAACACAAAGGCAAAGCCCACATGTACTTAGCGCCTAGGTTAAGAAACAGAACATAGCCCACACCCATAATCCAATCCCCACCTACACCCCGAGGGTCACCACCAGCCTGATTTCTCAAAGCATAGGCTCTTTGACACTGGATGCTTCGCCCTCCTTTCCTGCCCAGGGCTTCCTCGGTGTGCCCCCCTCACCCACCCCTTCCCCGAAGCTGACCGCCCTTGTTCTCCTTCTTCCCTTTGCTACACATCCCCAGGCCTCACCTTGAACTAAGCGTTCTCTGTCCCAGCAGGCAAGGGCAGGTTTTCCTGACCCGCCTTCGTGGAACCCAGCATTTTTTTTTTTTTTCTTCACGGCACTTGTCACGACTAAAATTAACTCTGTGTACATCCTGTTCACCGTGTGAAAGTCCGATGAGGTCAGTAAGTGGTCGGTCTTGCTCTTTGCTCTTTGCTTAAGTATACACACAGTGTATACTTAAATAACTGTGCAATCAATACATTATTCTTCTTCATGAAGTGTGACTACCAATACGAGAGACTCCATGTACTCAGAGAATGCACTTGTGCGCATTAGAAAAAGTGCCCTTTCCTCAATACACTTTAACCACATCTGTCGGAGCTGACTCCTAAAACCAGGTCCTTTGCTGCCCTCTGAGAGAAGGTCCTCGTAGAAAGTATCCAGCTCTGGGGCGCCTGGGTGGCTCAGTCAGTTGGGCGGCCGACTTCG